AAGATGCAAATGTTCTCCTGCATAAAGACTCCATGTGGATTGGTTCTCAGCATGGGAAGTTTGTACATTGTAATCATTTGCGATTCAAGTTCACCATGACTTATTCTCATTTGTTATACAACAATGATGTCAGTCAGTCAACCAATCAATCAATACATCAATTAAACAGTCAATCAATCAATCAACCAATCATTTATCGTTATTACTGATAATCTATTTGTTACAATTTTAATGGTTTCATTAATCAAGTCGTTATGATCATTAACAAACAATCATCATTTACTATTTCATAAGTTTGGAAATCGCTTTTGAATAACACGTTTGAATCACATTCATCTTCGCATCAACGTTCAGAGTGTACGTGCATCAAACCGATGCTGATACTAAGGACTGCGTGCATTCCTTCAAACTGAAAGCTTCCGTGTTTGCCCTGTGGTTAGTGCTGCTGCTGCTGCTGGCTGCTGTGATGAATGTTACTAGCAGTGCATTATCGTAATAATTACAATAATATCGTTAGGGAGGTGGTGCGTGTCGAAGTAGGTGCTACGCTGCTGAACTGCTGAGACAGTTGAGTGTTGGTCACATTTTTTATTCTTTAGAAAAATCAGAATCTGACAGACATCTGTTGAAACATGCAAGACAATAATTTAAAATTCAGAAAATAAACAAAGATGCCGTGGGCTGATGACTATGGCATCAAATTGTTAGGTTGATCAGTTTCAGTTCTTTGTTTTTGTAAACTGTTTGCAAACTTTATTATAAATTCATGAATCATAAAGGGTACCTGCTTCCTAAAAGAATGGGTAACTCTCAACTAAGAGGATTTCCCAATCACATAACAATGTGATTTTAAAATTTAAATCTTATGCTAGAAAAATAAGGAATAACATAAAAAGTTTACAACCGATTTTTTGAAACACACATACACATACAGACGTGCACATACATACATACATCACCAAAAGGTCTTTTTCAAACCTTCAGTCAATACAGAATCGTGCGGCCAAGCTGGTTTTGGGTGGTTCGTGGTTCGATCATGTAACGCCTATTTTGAATAGGTTGCACTAGTTGAGGGTTGAAAAACGTGTTTCCTTCAAGTTGGCAGTTTTGATGTTTAAATGTGTCAATAATACAGCACCTCCCTATCTCATCGATAGATCGGAATCATACAAATCTCATTTTTCAAAATATTCCTTCCGATCAACCGATCGCAATTTATTTTTTATCCCGACCACAAAGTTGGTAACGGGTTCCCGCAACTTTGCGGTTCTTGGCCCGATTGTTTGGAATGGTTTACCTCCATACTTACGTGACCCTAACCTATCATATTTAAAATTTCGAAGTCAACTTAAAACTTATTTATTTGCACAATGAATGTCCGTCTTATTTGTCTATGATTTAGTAGCACTTTTGAGATTCAACAATAAAAAAATATTGTATATAAATTTCCGTAATAATAATAATACATACATACATATATATATACACACGCATGTACATACACACACATGCACCCATATATGTACACATACAAATACACATATGACTGCATAAAAGAATGTGAAACAGATTGTTGAAAAAAGGATTTTGCAAGATTAAACATAAATGAAATAAAATTAATCAAATAATAAAAAATATTTAAGTAATCAAATTTCAGAAAGAAATCATTTTTATAATCAGCATTTGCTAATTTAAATGGTGTAAAGTCAGACAGCTGATGAATGGTGATATGCACTTGTGGATATTATGAAATAGCAAGATGGAGTTGTGTGAAATGAAGCATGATCTGAAATTAACTTGAGATACATACGTGAATGAGAACTGAGGTTGAAAAGGATAGTGCAAGGGCAAGACTGAGTGAGCTCGGATAATACCCAAACATGCATTCCCATACCCACCCCTATGACCGGGATACATGCAGCTTTTAATAACGACCATCCTTTCATTACTGTTTCAATCATAATGATACAAGTTAATGTATTTAGTGTTATTATTATTAGTAGTAGTATTAGTAGTAGTAGTAGTATGTTGTTGTTATTGTCATTGGTTACGATGATAATGATGACATCTGTTGTTGTTTCCTCCGACGACAGCCACACAAGAAGCAGAGTTTTCCTCTCATTGGCCAATGGAACTGTTGCTGTTTTTTGCAGATCCCAAGGTATTGATGATGATGAGGATAATGATGATGATGATAATAATGATTTGTTGTTGTTGTTGATGATGGTGATGATAGGGAACACAATTGGCCAATTTATTGTATTTATTTGGGATGGGAGATTTCATATTTCTTGAAAATTTCAGTTTTCATTAGCCATCAATTCAGAATTTAAAACAAGTTTAGATGCGTCAGTTTTGGCGTTCAGGAAATCACGAAGAAAATTTTCCCATAAATTTCAATTAAACTTTTTAGAAATATAAAGTTTAAATGGATTAAAACAATGTCAAACTAACTGTAAATGTTTGACTGAGTTTTTGTATTAACATTTTTATTTTATTTGTTTTTATTTTTTTTTTCAGTATTTTCCAGTATTAACTCTAACAGACTGCAATTAATGTTAGATGTGAATCAACGCATCGGAGACACTGCACGAGATTGGTGGCGATCTCGTTGCATTTGAATCCGGTCACTGCAACAGCAGTTCCAGGCACCTTAACCACTAGACCATCATGTATTTGGCATTGATCAATATTCTCATTAGGAAAATTTATTAACTAGATGTTTCGTAATTGATAATGAACTGCAAGATGGACCCGACCATCCGTGGCGCCTCTCCAGCCATTACGTCATGAAGTTCGGATGGAGCAGCAGACACAGGCATTCCGTCAGGTGCATGTGCGTCGTTCAACAGAAGCTACTCTGGGTCGGCTACCGAAACAAGATCTTCATCATCAATGTCGATAGCCTGGCTATCGAGGTGATGTGATGAGGAGGGTGAGGGTGATGACGCTGAAGATGTTGATGACGTTGAAGATGTTGATGACGTTGAAGATGTTGATGACGCTGGTAATGGTGATAATCTAGCAAATTATAGACTGCGTTGTTAATTGATGTAATATAGTCATATTTTATTAGTTTTAAAAAAATCACTATCATACAAAGTGTACAAGATGGAAGCAATGCAGTGTCATTTGTTGGTGGTTGGATGCTTATTCTGTTAATCAACTAACTGAATGATTTAATCGTTTTTTGAATTGGTTTTAGTATTGCGTAATTTTCAATATTTCTTGCTTGATATTTGTTAATGTTTTAATTTATTTTGACCTTCAGAAAGTCTTCAACGCCCACCCCCGACCAGAAAGTCAGGTCCGACAGCTTGCCTACTCTATGGACGGAGTCTGGGTCTCTTTTAGACTGGATTCAACTCTTAGGTTGTTTCAAATTTTCTGATGAGTATTGCTGTTTGAAATGTATTTTTAATAGGATGTGCTGCTTGATATGTGTTATGCTGTTTGATGTGGTAATTTTATTTGGTGTCACAAAATTCCGTGCAAAGAATTTTATGATAAGTGATGTTCTTATGTTGAGATGTTTTGCCGTGTAAAATCTTTTGAAATCTATTCAATTTAGTAACGTTAATGTTCATCCTACTAATGAATTTTAAAGAAACCTTTGCTATATAACGCTAAACAGTTGCTCATGCATTGTGGCAGCATACATCAGTCAAACAAGATTCTGGTGATTCAGAGCAGTAATAAATAAGGAACAAAACTGAGAACATTTATTAGTTGAAACCAAACATACAAACGTAAACAAACAAGTACACACATATAAACACACATATATATATATAATTCCAATATATTTGGTTCAAGGTGGATATCAATTTTAATATAAGAATCAAAGTAGTCGGCTAGGACCCACCCTAACCCTAACCCCAACCCAGCCTGCCAACCAGCATAGTACTGACTTCATCCAAATTTCTGAGAATTTATTGCTTTAAAATGTGGCTGCTCTAATGTTATCATAACAATTCATGTTGTGATGATGTAATAATATGTTTTGTAATATTTTGGATAATATACGTCGGGATAAGATATGTTGTGATAAGATATAACATAAGATTCAACATCCATTGCAATATCGAACGATGTTGATGGTTCTACACACAGGCTGTTTGATGCAACTTCTCTAACTCACTTGCAAGACATTGATGTTGAACCTTATGTTAGCAAGATGTTAGGTTGGTTGGTTGATTGATTGGCTGGTTGTTTGGTTGGTCTGTTGGCTGGCTGGTTAGCTGACCATTTAGTTTAGTAAATGATTTTGTCGTTTTTGGCTAAGTAATGATTCGAAATTTATTTACTTTTTGATTTATGTCAATGTCAATTAATAAATGTCAACTAATTATTTGTTTGATTTGTTTTTTTATGTGAATTTTAATGTACTTACTGTAAATAGTTTATTTTTAAAATTGCTAAGGCACAGGCAAGTTGGGCTTCTCTTTCATTCGCATCACATGTCTGATGGCTTCTTGCCATCGACTCTGGGTTGGTACAGGTAATGGAGTGATCATTTGCGTGCCGCTTGTTGAAGGTTTTGCAAGTGTTTTATTCATTAATTTGAACAATGTTTTGCTTTTATCAAGTCGCACAACTGTTTAACCGGATTTTTAAAATCAGTTGAATGCTTAAGCTCAAGTATGAACTCAACAACTTAAAATGAATTCATTTTAATAAACTGGTTCTATAAGGTGGCCGTTCTTTAAACTCCGACATCCAACTTTCCCTCAACAACAACATCACTAACAGCAGCAACAGCAACAACATCATCAGCAAATTCAACATGCCATATTGTTCCATGGCTCAGGCACAACTCAGTTTCCATGGTTACAAGGAAGCTGTCAAGTTCTTTGTAACTGTACCAGGTGATTTTGCACGTGGATGATGACGATGGAGGTGATGATGATCATTATCGTAGTGATGATGATCTACTTGATGATGTTAGTGGTAGTAATAGAGGCGAGAGATGATGTTTACAGATTAAATAGGGGTCATTGCTGTGTTGATGGTTGGTTTGTTGTAAATCTTTCGTTGAACTTCAAAAGTATTCATTAATTCGTTTTCAGCTAGCGTAAAAACAAGTGAAAAGAACGACGACAATAAAAATATTACCACCAAAGATGAAGGAGATGATGTGAATGGTGGAAACAGGAGGAAACCCATTAACAAGAATGGAAATTTGGCTGATGACGATGGTGATGAAGTTAGCTGTGAAAAGAAAAATGATGCCACCGATGAAGCATCAAGTAAGGATGGTGGTGAGAACGTGTCCACAGTCACAAAACAATCATCTACGACATCCTCACCGAAGATTCCAACCCCCTCTTCGTCATCACATTCAAAACAACCGGCAACGTCCAAACCATCCTCCCCATCAAAAGAATCATCATCATCTTTATCATCCTTAATGTTGGTCATGTCTGGGGGTGAAGGTTACGTCGATTTCAGGATTGGGCAAGTTGCCTTTCCAAGTTCAGGTTGGTCCATTCAAGGATTCAGATTTTCGATCTTTGGTATATTTTGTTGTTGTTGCGTTTGTTTTTTTTTGTTTGTTCATTCGTTCGTTCGTTTTGTTGGCGTAAATGTGTTTGGATGAACGTTTTGTTAACTTCAATTATTTTGTTAAGGTGACCCTGATGACGATCAAGATGTTAAAAACAAAATGGACCTTTCTAGGAGAAACGGAAATTCCAGGAAGTCTAAAAATAACCTCAGTCATTTAATAGTTTGGCAGGTGGCAACAAACAAAATGTAAATAATTTAAGTGAATAAATAACTTATTTAGATGAATTATTAAGTGAATTGACTCATATTTTTCTTATTATTAAGTAGGGATTTATTAGTGTATAAAGCTGAAGTATTCTCTTTCAAATATGTCAGTGTCATTTAGTTGCTTTGCTACCAAGAAATTTTGTGAAGCGCCACGAAAACCAACTGGAGCTTCTTCGATGTTGTCAAATTCATCATGGTCGTTTCTATTTTGTTAATCATCTGCGAGAGATTTTCATTGGTTGTATTTGTGCTTGATGCTGTCTCAACTTTTGTGCTGAATGTATGCAACCCAGTTTGTCGCTACATTCTAGTTCAACGTATACAACAGTACAATATTTTACTGCAGTCACGTTGTATTATCTTACGGTATCTTTTTCTTTTTTTCAATCTCTTATCTTTTTCTTTTGTCACTATTTTGATAGATGTTAATGTTGGAAATGTTAATACCCTGAATTAGCGTTGTAGTCAATATTGATATTATACATAATTATTGTAGTGTAGTTCGTTATAATTTCTTCTAACATTTATTTAGTCGTCATGTAATGATCAATTTGACAACATCCGCGTTGAATTGCACAAGCATAGTTCAGTGTTGTAAGTCATTTTAAAATATTCATTTAAAATATGTTTTAAATAGTTGTGAAGAGTTTAATTGCCATTCACAGTACGTACATTTTTAATAATTATTAATAATATTCATGGAAGTTTACATGCGAGTTTGATTTAACTACTAAAATATTTACATTCAATATTATGCTGTAGTCCAGTCACATAGGTTTCAACACACATCTACAGCTACAAATATTCATACATACACACACACACACACACACATATATATATATATATATATACACATATATATATATATATTATATATATGTATGTGTGCGTGTACAAAGCTGTACTTTTGCTTCATCGATATTTATTTCAAGTCTTTTTATTGTTATTTTATTTGAGTCAGATATCGGTGGATGATACAATCTTGTCATGCTTGTATGGTGGATTTTATTCTAATGTTGTTTATCTATTTATCTAGTTGAGTTTCATCGTAACCTAGTCGTTGCAACCTATTTGCATTTTAACATTATTTGAAAACAGTATTATTGTGTCGTTGGCGTACCGTAAAATCTGTTGATCGTAGCGTATGTTGGTTGCGTATCAAATATTCAAACACAACTGCCGACGAATTCAATATCTTGTTTCGTATGCGCGTCTTTCTGGTTATGTTATTTTGCATGCACCGTTTTTAAATGAGGTATCTTTAAAATATGCCTCAATGTTGTAAAAAAAAAGTTTCGTCGAATCTTTGATAATTTCTTATATTTTAAAATTTCATGTTTTTGGGTAGTCTTTTATACGAGTGGGAGAGGGAAAGAAAATATTTGAATGTTAAACAAATTGTTCGTTTGATCATATGTATTGTGTGTGTTGCGTGCGTGCTTGTGTTAGCAATTATGAAATTATGAGTAAATATTTTACATTAAAAGCTACGATAAAAAGGAAACTTTACATTATAATATCATTTAGTTTTTGTAATTTTAAGGCTGCTTGAGTTTTATTAAATTTTTCATAACAAAAGTATTTATCCGTATGATTATTATTAGTATTTTGTTTTATTTGTTTATTATTAATTAAATTCACTCATCTTATTAAATTTTCGATGTTATTACTCGCTTAAGAAAAGATATTTATCATCATGAATTACCTATAAAATTTTTTCAAAAATTTTTGTTGGCCTCTTAGGTTAAAGTTCATTGCACCGCTTAGGTTTTGGAAAAATGTTACCAAAACGGTCATGCAAATATATATATAAATATACAGTATTGTATGAAGTATGAACACCAAAGATGGTATAGGAAGGCTTTTCTGTTCTATTATGCATAAATTAAACAAAAATTTTTGTTTTGAACTAAAGAAACTTGAAAAAGATTTACGATCAACCGTTAGAAAAATCGAAAGTTAAATTGGAAGTTAACTAAAGCCGAAAATGCTGTGATTTTCATCAATAATTGCATATACATTTATATATATATATGCATTGCATAAAGATGCATTGA